CCTGCAGATCGATCGACGCGATGTCGGTGCTATCGACGCGACCGCGAACGCGCCCAGATTTGGGACGACAAGAGGCAGCCGCGCCGGCGCTGCCACCGGAGAAGGTCGGAAATGACGCGGTGACTTCGAGCGACGACTTCACACCCGGAGCGTCGATCGTCGGCGCGCTGCCCAACGCGCGGTCCGCGGCGATCCTCGAGGCGCTCGGCGCCCCGCGGGACGTCCGAGACGACGGCCGCGACGACGCGCGCGTCCGACGCCGATGGCCGCGACAACGAGTGCGCGGATGCGACGTCGCCGGGCGGCTCCGCGGCGTCGCTCGCCGACGACGACCGCGACGCGCACTGCGGCCTGCCGCCCTAGCCGTCGACGAACGATGGGCACTGCCGGAGCGAGCCCGCGGCGCGGCTACCTCTGCGACCGCGTCAAGGTGCCGAGCGCGCTGAGTTTGTGCGCCCTCTTCCTCACGGACGTGCCCCAGCTCCACGTCGCGCGCCACCCGGGCGCCTTCGTCGCAAAGGGCCGGACGGCGGTAAGGTCTTCGAGTTCGACCTCAACTTTTGCATGCACTTTGGGCAACTTCGTCATCTGCGTGCACGCGCACGAACGACGGCCACCGCGACGCGCAACTGAAGTTGAGAAACTGGCTCGTGCGCCGCGCCGTCGGCGGCAACGCCAAGCTCGCCGGGGCCACTACCCTACTTCTCCGGGCCCGACTACTTCGAGGTCGACGGGGACATCGTCGGCTCCATGGGCGTGGCGGATCCTTTCCATCGTCAAGAGCGCGACGTAAGAGCTCGTCCTCGACATCGCCCGCGTCGCCGACCTCCGCTCCCTCCGGGCCGATGTGAACATATCCCGCCGGCGGGATATATTAGGCGCCACCGTTGCCAAGGCGTGGCTCAGGACCCTCGATACACGAGTAGGCGCCCGAGTTTAAAGGCGACGACCAGGACGCGCGCCGCTCGCCCTGCCCCGCGCCGAGGCTGTTCGCGCGGATCTGGTACGACTCCCGGACCATCGTGGGCTTGCCGTCGCCGCCGCCGCGTTTCTGGCCCCGGCGCCGGCCGTGGCCGCCGCCGTGGCCCTGGCCGCCGCCGTGGCCCTGGCCGCCGCCGTGCTCCTGTCGCCGAGCGGCGTTGTACGCGGCGAGCTCGTCGGCGTAGAGCGGGCCGTCGAGCGACTCGCGGCGTGACGGGGCCAGCTTGGGCTCCGGCGGCGGCGGAAGCGCCTTCCGCTCAGACGGCGGGACCTCGAAGCACCACGCGCTGTGGCAGTCGACTCCAGGGTCGGGCCGCGCCGCGTGCTTGAGGAGGACGGACCAGGGCGGCCGCGTCGCGCGCAGGCGCAGGATCCACTCGCTCATGCTCGACGAGCCCGG